AGTGCATTCAAGCCGTGATAGAAATGCACGTATTTACGAGACAGACGACATGAGGTGTCATGGTGGAGAGTGGTAAACTTGTGCATTTACAAACAATTCAATACTGTGCATCAAACAAACTTGTGATGACGCGAATAAATGAGGAGAAAAAGCATTAATTAAAATGTTCAATCAATTAAAAAAGGAGTATATGCTCTGCCCGTTACCTGAGCAGTGTTTCAAATCATTCTGGATAAGGTGACGAAAACTATACAAGACTTCTATCAGAATAAGAAATATATTGCAAAGACGCACTTATTTTCAAGAAGAATAACAATGATTGTCACAAAGCAAGATTATTATAATTATTGTTGTTTCCTCACTCTACTGCGATGAAGGAGAAGAAAATGTAAATGTAAAATGTTCCAAAGATAAAAATTTGAAGAATTTTTAACCAACTGAAGTGTATCAAGCTCCATATAGAAGTTTTTAAAAATTATACTATAGATCTCGGAGAAAACGTCTAGTTCGTATATTTAGTCCGTCATTTACTATAGTGCAGGTCCTTCTGAATATCCGAGTATTTAATTAAATCTCTTGAGATTAAAAAAAATTAAATCTTTTGAGATTTAAAAAAATTAAATCTCTTGAGATTAAAAAAAATTAAATCTCTCGAGATTAAAAATAATAAAATCTCTTGAGATTAGAACTTGGAGGAAGTTCGGCAGGATCATGACTTATAGGATCACTCTTGCCCGCTAGATCATGAACATAGAAATTATACCGAATTATGCGACACCAGAATCTCCGTATTTTCCTAAGGCACACTCATCACCTTCATCATCAAGAATTGTCTTCTGTTCACCCATGTTTTTATTTAATATGGGTGAAGCCATAATTTAATTTAATTTAATTTTCTTAGAAGCCATATTTTTTCATGAACCAAGAATGTCAAAAGAGAAAAAACCTGACCACAATAGATTCAAATAATATGTTAAATAACAGGACACAGGACAAATGTCTACTGTGGCGAGAAAACTACTAGCAAGATACAGCAGCTACGGGATAACAGCACAGCACATATCGAGGAGGTGAATTTTTGACGGAGATGTTTAAAAAGTCTACTATCACGAATAAAAGATCAATTTCAATTATAACAATTATTTAAAGAATGCTTGCTGCACCGTCACAACACTAATTTTCACGCTTAAATGAAGTTTGATTCGCCATACCAAGTTTTCAAATTAAGTTAGAAGTTTACTTAAATTCAACTTCGTGCTTTCCAAGGTAATTTTCTATAGAGCTTGAATGGAATGACAACGAGCATCGTTACGTTAATATGTGCTGTAATTATCCAAATTTAACAGTTAAGTGTTAGTATCTACACTACCATAAACACCGCAGATACTGTCACCAACTCATCACTAGTTCAACAAAACTGCAGACCCAGGATCTGTCAATGAAAACACTGGAAAAAGGTTATGAACGTTGAAAAAGCTTAAATTACGAATAACAAGTTAAGAAAAACAAGAAGTTATTCCACTGAAATGTATCTGTATTGGAAGCACATTAGAAGAGCTGGAACCAAAGATGTTAAGCATAGAAATTGAAATAAATAAGTATATACATAAATAAAACACATATTATATTCAGGATACAATTGAGATGAAAAATATTTTATAGAAATCATCTTAATATTTGCTACACTAACGCTAACTGTAACAATGGTAGTTTCCTTGATCTCATTCGAAAAATAAGTTCAACAAGCACGAAGAAGTTTTCATTTAATCAGTTACCCTAAACGTCAAAAAACATCCTCAGACTTCCACGAATTCACTTAAAATTTAAAAAACTAATTTTTCCCGTTTAACTTTTAAAAATGCTTGTTATTTGAGAATGTGCGTGAAGTTTTTTTTTTCGTAAACGGATAACTTCGATTGATCTACAATCGCTACCTCGCGTAAACAAACCCAATATTCGACTCTATAGTAACACCGAGATCAATTAAAACGCATTGAAAACCAAAGGTCATAGGCCATTAAGTGGCTGCTGACAATTTTACAATAATATCGATTGTAAAATATAGATGTAGGCTGACTAGGGTGATGACGAATTGAGTGAGCCGACTGGGATGTCAAGCATCAGGACCAATCACTTCGTGTAGCGAACTTCGAAAATATAATATATCTAATAGCCTATATGCTCACGCGGAATGTTTTTCACAGTTTATTAAAAACTAGGTTGTTTCATCCACGACTAGTACAGATGACAGACAATCGACTACCACATACATTCATTCTAAAATTTTACAAGCAATATAATTTGAAGAAATCAACGAAAAATTATGTCATGAGGTGGAAGAGGGATTGAGATCACATCCTCAAAAACCGATAAAACACAAACAAAACGGCAACAACAAAAAACTATTTAGGAATGTTTTTCTGGCACTCATAGTCCACGATAAGTTACCAACGATTCCATCACGATAAATAATTTCACATCGGTACGCAGTTTCTAATTCCCGACCGCTCGTATTTTACAAGGAAAATTTCCTCTCAAAAGCAAGGGCAGAAAGTGCACACACGGAAGGACGACTGAGCCATTTTATTTCGTTGAAGTATGTTAATTTGTTACGAATTTTATGCATACCTAAGAGTTCAGATGGATCCATCAATCGCTTCCACAGTAAACGATCTAGCGCCCATTAATTAGTAAAGAGTGCTTAGGAAGCGAGAACTAACATAAATAGATCGTAATTGGGGAATTGGTGTTGAGGAAAAAACAAGAAGATGGGTAAATGTGAAAAAATGTATGATTTGAAGAATATGCTTTAGGAATGAACGAAAATAACGCAAATTTGAAACATGAAGGTTCAGCATATTAATGGTTAAGAAATACACATGACGCCAACGAACAAGAACGAAACCGTGATCGAAATTAATCTAAACAATTTAATATACGAAAATGTAAATAATTTAATACAAGAAGATAAAAATATAAGGAGCAAGTGTGACGAGCGATTTTTGAAAGCATTTGAGTTAGGACTTAATTTATAAAAAATAATGAAGACCTCGATTGGTGAAGTATGAACAGCTTTTCAATGGGCAGAAAAGCTTGCGATGAACGTAGAGAAAAAGCTTTGGATGTTCGCGTAACTCAAAAATTCACTAATTTAAACAAACATCTGCACTCACGAATTTTGAAGTCGTGATGCACGCAAAATAATAAGTGAATAAAATTATATCATTGAATACGGCAGGAAAAAGGGAACACTAGTAACACACTACCGAAAAAAATATAAATTCCCTAGAATTTTTTTAACTACAGTACGTCTCCATGAAGTTCAAACCCCAAAAAATGTAGAAAAAAATTGATTGTTAAATGAAAACCACGATCAGGAAATACACAATAAACTTCAACGTAGGCCTTGAGAATCGTAGGAAGCAACAGAGTTGAACGGAATATCTGGCACATGCAAGAAAGGGAGGAGGCGATAGGCCGTAGGATGAGATTGGTCGCAGCAGACATTCCTAGGATGCTTGGCCGGGGAATTGCTAGAACACCGCACGGAGTATCATCAAATTAAATGAGGATAGTCTTTAGCCCAAATCTAAAGTGCCGCAGTATTTAATTTAAACTAAAATCAGTTCAGAAGATCATCATTCTAGCCTTGGCAACTTAAAGAACCAGTTTTGAATCCCAAAACAGTGTAAAATTTACTAACTGAAGCCATAAATCCAGTTGAAAATACTTTTTGTCTCCTAGTTTACAACATTCAACGGTTAACCAATAACACATTAGAGATTCTAGAATGTTGCAATGCAGAACTGGCATCAAAAATTACGAGAAAGGTGCCAACTTTTAAATTGGCCAATTGTTTTCTATTCATCACTCCAAGGCGTAAATTAATTATTTTTTTTTTTAATTATTAGTTAAATATTTTCATTCTAGCCATAAAACTTCAAACCACTAATCAAACGAAAGAAAATGGAGCACAAATCAATCCTGCTAAGCGAGACATAAAATTTAAGCAACTTCGATCAAAATCAGGTAGCCAGCGTATCCTGCATGGCAAAACGCTCCTATATATTTCTTATTTACAATTCGAAGACGAAATTTGTGATGACTTGAAATTTATTCGGATTAAGATTCTGGAATTTGATTCTTCTACAAACTGGCACAATTAATTTTTGGAGCATGTAATTGAGTGCAATTTCAATATCTACAATCAAGCCGGCTTCAATGAAACTATGAATGCAAAAACAAGAGTTGTGCATGTTTGCAACAAATGATATAAAATTAACGAGCAAGGCATGCAATGAAGCGCCAGAAAACTTACCTGCAAACTGAAAATAATTATAAAATTAAGCCTATCAAAGCCTATCCTTTATCCTGATAAAAGCCTATCACTTATCCAGATAGAAGCCAATCCTTTATCCTGATAAAAGCCTATCCTATATCCTGATCTTGGATTGATTTATCTAAGATGTCTATCGATTTTGGAAAAATGCCATGTACGGAAAAAAATTTAAATTTACTTAGAGCTTTCTTAGTGTTGTATTAAATATTTGTCAAAATTCGATTAATGAAGAAAGCAGAGAAAAAATTACTTGACTTTTCACAGTGAATTTGCAATATCAGAAGTTAGAAATTTTAAAAATAATTTGAATTTATGCCGATAGAACAGAGATTCCAGTTAAAAATTTATTTGAATTTTTGATGAATCACTTCACGAAAGAAAAGTACTTTTCTCGTCTTATGGATTTCTTCACTTCAAGCTTTTAATACAGTTTCATCAAATACATAAAATTGGTCCGTGTTTTCTCAGATAGTTTAATGTGTTAATCGCTTTTCGGTGTTTCTCATAAATTAGCGAAGAAATATCTCCGGGTTTTCTCGCTTAATTTATTGTAAAAATGAGAGTTCGTTCTTATTAATACGAAGCGTGGACAAGCTCAGTAATTTAAATACAAATTATGTGCGCGTAAAATAAAGGCTACGAAGGTATCACTGATACGTACCAAGCCGTCGTTGGTGCGCTACAAGGAAGAGGATGAAAGCAACAACATTAGACACTCAAATTCGTTTAAAGCTAATGCATTTGATGGCCTTTTTATATCAAACTCTTTACTGTCCACGCGATAACTCAGACTATATACGATTTGTTCTTGAAATTATTACTGAAATTACATTTGAAATGGGATACAAATTTATATATAATTAATACTTGAATTACATTTGAAATGGGATAAAATTTCATATATAATTAATACTGGAATTACCTTTGAAATATGATACAATTATTCCTTTCATCAAATGGGAATGTCACGAATGAACCTAGGAGTCAACTGGGCAGTAAAGAGTTGTGAAGACAAGAACATGCCGACGTCTTCCAATTATGCAGCGCAGACATGTAGAAATCAAGAGCATAATCATGTCTTTAAATGTACTTAGCAGGCCCCAGTCTTGCAAATTCCGTCGCACAACCTCACATGAAAATTGTATCTGCACCATCACCGGCCGACCACTCGCCACATTCTGGCATCGACGATGAAACATTAATTCTTACAATATTAAATCGTCTCAATTAATTTCGTTCCATTTTCCAACCTCCTACTATGAATAAATAATTCGCAGTCAAGACGAAGCATGCAAAAGCATGTCAGTTCGAGCGGAGCTGTATGTATTCAGATTGGTTAATTATAATAGCATGGAATAGCATTGGCGTCGCGATGGTCACATTTTTAATTAAAAACATTTTTAAATGATGTTTCCAACCTTTCACAAACATACAAGTTCCTTCGGAACTATTCGCTTGTAACGTATCTCACGTTAGCTTACGGCCGACCACTCGCCACATTCTGGCATCGACGATGAAACATTAATTCTTACAATATTAAATCGTCTCAATTAATTTCGTTCCATTTTCCAACCTGATGTTGTGAATAAATAATTCGCAGTAAAGACGAAACATGCAAAACCATGGCGGTTCGAGCGGAGCTGTATGTATTCCAATTGGTTAATTATAATAGCATGGACGAATAGCATTAGCGTCGCGATGGTCACATTTTTAATCAAACATTTGCAAATGATGTTTCCAACCTTTCACAAACATACAAGTACCTTCGGAACTATTCGTTTGTAACGTATCTCACGTTAGCTTTTGCTTGAAAATGTAGGCCCAGAAGAATTTTCTACAAGATTTGAATCGGGCAAAATAAACAGAAATGATTGATTATTTCAACGGCGATGGGAACCATCACAAAAACGGATGACGAGCCATCGGCCACTGCACAGACGGCCAACGGAAGGCCGCCTGTGATGCAAGACTCAGTGTCGGATTCCATGTTGACAATTGGGAAACAGTCCGCAATCTTTCTTCCCGACACAGTAAACACGGAACAAGATTCACCATCACCTTTCGTTCAGTAAAAAGTAACAAAGGACTGCGGACAGAATCCAGCTAAACGCGCACGCGTTGGCTCATAATCAGCATTTTAATGAGGACTAGTTTCATAACCCTGTCAGAAATGAAGAAAAATTTGAACAGATACTGAGAATTCAAGCCTAATGGTCAAATTTTAATATGGAACCAAGAAAGAAGACTAGCCAACTTCTTATGACTTTGCTTTCACGATATTCTACGTAACAACGAACACCTAGCGGCTACTTCAAAGAGCGAAGGAAAGAGCAGTAAAAGGCGGTAAGAAATTCTGAGTTATTTGCCTTCAAATGGAAATAAAAAAGTTAAGCATACAAAGGAGCACAACAGTAACAATGCGGATTAAATTCGTTTTTTTTTCGAACAAATAGGGCTACTTCATTTGATAAAAAAATGCTCCTTTTGAAGTAAAAAGTTACTGCAGCAGTTGAAAATCGTGGACCTGAACGCTGGTGAAATGCGAAATCACCATTACTTCCAAGCAATGTTGAGCTTTTTTGTACAGTAACGTGGGACTCAAGGCTGCAATAGAGCCAAGTTAACTCTTTGATAAGGTCCGAAAAAGATCCACATAGATCCGAAAAAATACTAGTGATCGGCAAGTGCATGGTTGAAGTATACTTGCACGTACACGCTTACGTTGTAGTAAATAATAGTAAGTAACCATCTTCATAGACCATTCCTCCTTTAATATTTGGTATGTATCTAACTAACAACGGAGCAGTGATATAGTTTTTTTAAATGCGTCTGTGAAAGGTTAGGTGCTTTGTTACCCAAAATAATCTTGACTTTTTGGAAGTACATAACCAATAATCAATTTCAACGGACCTACTTGGCGTAAGCAAGTCAGAGTTTAGAGCACGCTTGGACCGTAGTCGCACTCACCCGAACGAGATTTTTGTCGTTGTACATGCCAAGACAGAAGGGCTCCTTGGTGTTGTAGTCCCTGACTTGGTCTTCGAGCTCGTGCAGGGTGTCGACAGGGGCGCGGTTGCCAATCACCATAAAGGATCTGTCGAAGGGAAGCAGGTTGTCGCGCTCGGTGCGGCAGCGCTCGGTCGCGTTCATCGCCAATGGCGACGACGAGTCTGGCCGGACATAAGAAAAGATCGTTGTTATAGGTGCCAGAGAGCAAGGTTGTGGTAAGATTGCACGAAAATGACGGCACATCTTAGTTTGTGAATAGAAAATAATAAAAAAATCTGAGGTTATCGAGAAAATCTGCAAAAGTATCGACAATTGGCGATGAGGAAAGCCAATAATACCCGAATATATTAAGAAGGATGAGACCTTCTCGCTAAACAGACAAGCCCTCCCCCACCCCCCAGTTGCTGGGCTTGTTCTCCTCACCGAACATGTACGCCACTCAGTCGCTGGGCTTGTTCTACTCACCGAACATGTACGCCACCCAGTCGCTGGGCTTGTTCTCCTCACGGTCGACGTAGATAAGCAGATATTCGCTCTGTCCCTGCGGCTTCATGAGCCCCGACAGCGACATGGTGAGCAGCATCTGGTACACCTCGCCGCGGTGCGCCAGGAACACGTAGACTGCCAACACATGTCGTCGGTATAAGGACAGGGTTACAACTTGAGTGCAGTTAGGAATGTCCCGGTGCTTCTTGATAATTAGCTTACAGATTTAGAGTACAGTTAGAAAGGGAAGTTTTGCTGACTCTTGATAATAAGATTACATATTATGAGTACAGTTAGAAGAGTCCCGGTTCTTATTGATAATTAGGCTACAGATTTAGAGTACTATAGTTAGAGAGGAAAGTTTTGCTGCTTCTTGATAATCATATTACATATTATAAGTGTAGTTGGATGGAGAAGTCCCGGTGATTCTTGATAATTAGGCAAAAGATTTAGAGTGCAGTTAGAGAGGGAAGTCTTGCTGACTCTTGATAATTAGATTACATATTATGAGTATACAGTTACTTCTTGATAATTTGGCCACAAATTACTGTAGATTACAAGAAGTAGACAGAGAAGACTCACTACTTTTCGATAACTTGGCTACAGAGATGGAGTGCAGGTAAACAGAGAAGTCATTGGGCTATTTCACCATTAAACAAAAGCGTTATAGTGCAGCGGATTCAACCGCAGTACGATTCAATTAACAGCAAGAAAGAAGGTTATATATTTATGTAGCTGAAGAGCTAGTTTACTAAAAAATGGTAAAATTATATTTTATGGTAGAATAGTTAAATTTACTGAGCAAATAATAGCCCTGTAGGTCCCATCACCAAGATTTGACCGTGGAGAGGGATTTTTACGTCACACCATCGACAAATGCATTGTTATGAGACACGCTGGTTCTGATGTGCTCGAAAATTGATCAATAAATTACAAAAAACTTAATGGATCAGTTTTAATTAGTGAACTAGTCAAAAATGATGTTCTTAGAAGGCAGGAATTTATTATTTCTTTATTAAGAATTCTTATGGAGAAAATTATATATAGCTCTTTGAGTAACGAGAGGCATCTCAATGTCAGAGACTATTACAATCCATACGGAGAATGGCTCAATGTACGTAAAAATTATAAAATCGTGAGCTGCCATTATATTACAGCGAAAATAGCCACCGCGGTGTTATAGTGACAGTTTTTGTCAAAAATTCTATAAGACTGCTCAGAGGAAGACAGCAATGCTAAAAGATTTGCCCGATACGATAAAGGCAAGGAAGATCAAGACAAGCGAGGTCAAATGAGGTCGACGGATCGCAAGGCGGAGTAACGAGCAGAGCCGTGATTTCCGAGGTGCCGGACATTACGCAGTGCTCTGATAAAACCGCTAGTTAATCATTTTCGGGGGCCTGTTCCGAGTTTTTGTTGATAATTTGCAGACATTTCGCTTGTTTTCACCGGATATTGTCAAGCCTGACGTCAAATGAGCAAAATACCCTAAAAAGGTCTCTTGAAGGGAGACTAGAGAGTGTTCAGTTCAATTGACCTATCTTTTCCTTCTATTCATTAAAAAAATGATGAAAAAACATTTAGTCCAGAATCGGGGTCGGATATGTGACATCAATTGCTTTTGAAAACGAGAAATTTCCTTTGCGCTCAAGCAAGCGGTAAATTATGCAAACAGAGGAATCCCTTTTGAAAAAGTTAAAATTATATACTGTAGGTATATAAAATGTACTATATTTATATACTATATTCTGATGAAAGTAATACTAGAGAATTAGTACATTATATCAGTGAGCAAATAAATAAATAATATTATACCAAGACTCAGGTGAAGGCTGTCAAATGACTGCCGTTATTAGGGAGTGCATGGGAGGCGTATCAATTATTGGGAAATTTATCGCTTCTAAATTTAGAGTACGAGAGGATTTTTGTCTCCATTTAAATTCAGAGCATAAACAAAAAAAAAACAGTTTCCGAAAAATATCGATTGCCTACCAATGTGGTCCAAAATCCCCGTTAGCGAGGGAATATTTAAGTAAAGATGTGCCAAATGGCGCATAGTCGGCGGCTGAGACGGGAGTATCCTTTTATTACCTCGACTGTTAGGATTTTATTAGGCAATGCAGGCCGCCATTTGAGGCTCGTGCAAGTCTCGTGATAGCCTCTTGCTTAGGCGCTATTGCTGCTTAGCAACTCGTCAAGAGGCTAAAAACGGCAGCCATGATCGAGGCTAAGTTGCGCTCCAACTAATAGCAAGGCCAAGGACCTGACCAAAAGCTTCGACAAGATCCAAGACGCGACGAATAGCCGTGCCAACACCCGGGCCGGGACGAATATAGCTACAGCAAGACCCGGGCCGGGACGAATATAGCTACAGCAAGACCAGGGCCGGGACGAATATAGCTACAGCAAGACCGGGGCCGGGACGAATATAGCTACAGCAAGACCAGGGCCGGGACGAATATAGCTACAGGAAGACCAGGGCCGGGACGGGACGAATACCCGCGGCAAGACCAGGGACCTGGCTAATAGGACACGTATACTACCCGTAGATACTAAAGATAAGACAACTCCTGGCAACAAGGAACATCACATCTGGCAACAAGGCGCTACACCCATGCACAACATACACAAGGACTCCTACAACAGACATGAATGATTCATGAAGATGACACAACAGTGACCCTGAGAAACAAGAGAAACAATGGGATAGTAATAATAATAATAATAACATTATTATTATTATTATTAGCGACGAAAATAATAATAATAATATTATTATCTTTTACTTTATTATTATTATTAGTATTATAATATTGATAATAATAAAAAACAAGCACTCAGCATGGAGCAGAATACGATAACCTGGCGTCACGGCCAAGCTTATATGCTGGCGGCTGATGCTGTCCTCGATCCAAGAAAGAAATGCACTTTCCGAGTTTCAAAATATTGATTTGAGTTTCTAAATTTGAATTTATGGTATAATTAATAAGTGAATTTCAAAGTGAAAAGTAAAAACTTCATGTGGACAATATGGAGGGCTCATTTAAGTAAAATATAAATTAAACATATTTTCATGATAGAATTAAAAAAACTTAGTTCACTTATGTGTGAAGTGGTAAAATTGATGGTCTGAGCTTGATAAATATCTTAGAAAAGGATATCGGAGATCGAGAAAATATAGCTTATCAGAGCACTTGGCGTCAACAATGGCCAGAGTTTCCAGGAAGAGGAAAGCGTTCTCCAAGACGCCGTCCTGCCTGTTAAGTAGCGGGGGGCAGGACGAGATCGAACAATACGCACGGAAAATGCGAACAATGCGCATGCAAAATGCGAACAATGCGCACGAAAAATGCGAACAATGCGCATGAAAAATGCGAACAATGCGCACGAAAAATGCGAACAATGCGCACGAAAAATGCGAACAATGCGCACGAAAAATGCGAACAATGAGCACGAAAAATACAAACAATGCGCACGAAAAATGCGAACGAAAAATGCGAATAATGCGCACGAAAAATGCGCAAGAACTATGCGAACAATGCACACGAATTATGCGAACAAAGCCCACAAACAATGCTAACAATGCGCACGAACAATCCGAGAAATGCGCGGGAACAGTGCGCATAAACAACAAACAATGCGCACAAGCGACCCAAATAAACCGTGACTATATACGCAGCCCCTGAAAAGCGTTACATCGCAGGCTTTGGTGCATCAGGGACGCTTTGAGATGCAGAATAATTGCACATCTTCTGATAAAATTGATAAGACAAGTGAAGCGTAATTTTTGAATGAAGTGCACGGTTTTCAAGCGGGGAAAGGATAAGGAAAATAGAACATTTGCGCCGCAAGCTCGCTACGAGCATTTGTTTAAACAAAGGTTAACTCGTCCATTCAAGAAAAATATGGAAATATGAAACTTGACTTGATTAAATGATCGTCCATTCTTGACTGATGTAAATTAAAGTTAAGTTAAGTTTGCCTAAAATTGTAAAGATTAATATACCTACTTTCCCGCAATCGGATGTTGGATAAACCTTTTTGGTGAGCTTGCCTAGTGATAGATCTAGGTAACCAAAAACAATAAGGAGCCACCTGGTATTTTGATACAACTCACTTCTGGTGGCGCTCGTATTCCCTTAAATAAGTATAGGTAGAAATAAGGCTCTACCAAACGAAACAATAAGGCCGATATTTTGGTACAACTCACTAACTCACTTCTTGTAGCGCTCTTATTCTCTTAAACAAGTTAGGTAGCAATAAGGTTCTACCAAACAAAACAATATTCACGGCATTTTGGTACAACTCACTTCTGGTTTCATTCTTGGTCTCAGAGATGATGGTAGGGAACTGCTCTGAGTTTGTGGCGGCGATTTTGTGGTTGACTGTCAGGTTGTCGAAGGCTGCTAGCTGCTCCAAGACAAAAAGGTTCTACCAAACAAAACAATATTCCCGGTATTTTGGTACAACACACTTCTTGTAGCGCTCTTATTCTCTTAAACAAGTTAGGTAGCAATAAAGTTCTACCAAACCAAACAATAAGGCCAATATTTTGGTACAACTCACTTCTGGTGGCGCTCTTATTCCTTTAAATAAGTTAGGTAGCAATAAGGTTCTACCAAACAAAAAATATTCCCGGTATTTTGGTACAACTCACTTCTGGTCTCATTCTTGGTCTCAGAGATGATGGTAGGGAACTGCTCTGAGTTTGTGGCGGCGATTTTGTGGTTGACTGTCAGGTTGTCGAAGGCTGCGAGCTGCTCCAAGGTGTCAGCCATGGTGCTGAACTCCTCCATGTAGATGATGCTGAATTTGTTCCAGCTGAAATGCTTCAGCGTCTCCACCGTAACACGCAGCAGCTGAAACATAATAATGACTCTCATGAATTAATTATATATTCACTCTGACCTCCCAGCGTTCGTTTACATCCATTCATTACGACGTCAGTTTTATATGTATAAAATCCCGTTTAACTTATAAAAAGAAACGTAGAATAACCTAGCACTTGATCTGAAGCTTGAAAAATCCTATAGATGTGCTATGGGATCGTCATAGATGAACAATATCAATTACTACATTAATTAATCTATTGCAATAATTGAAGAATGCTCTAAAAAACGATGAATGATGTTAACTAAGTTCAGCAGAAGGGAGTATTTGAACAGAAGTGAGACCAGAAACAAGAATTAAAATGATGCGCGACTTGAATAACCGCACTGTTAGAAAAATTACCATTAACGGTATTACCGGCGTTTCAGTGGCCGGTCGGCACGTAAAAAGAAACACCGTGTCGCCGTTTTTATTCTAATTTAACACTAGCAATCCGTAATACATCTGATAAAAACGGCGCAACAGTTTATTTTCACGGGGCGACGGGCCACTAGAACGCCAGTGGGACCGTTTTTTCACCGTTTTTCTAACGCAATAAAATTAAGAAAAACAACACTATAACAAAATAGAGAACACGCAAGCATGACGGCACACGGCAGAGCTACACAGGAATAACAGGGCTACATACCCCTTAGATCATACATACATATCCCTTAGATCATACATACATGCCCCTTAGATCATACATACCTATCCCTTAGATCATACATACATATCTCTTAATTAGATCATACATACATACCCTTTGCAAGCATGACGGCAGAGCTACACAGGAATGACAGGGCTGCATACCCCTTAGATCATACATACATACCCCTTAGATCATACATACATATCTCTTAATTAGATCATACATACATACCCTTTGCAAGCATGATGGCAGAGCTAAATACCTCTTATTCCTCCGTATATCAGGATCAGCAACTCAATTCCTCAGTTACGTACGTCAGGCATCAATAGCTATAGTATTATACACCCAAAACCTTTATTCCTCTCTCACGCGTTCCACTCATTCCTCTCATTCCTCCCTCACGTGTATCAGAGATCCATACCTTATAATTTTCTCTCGCGTGTGTCAGAGATCCATACCTTATAATTTTCTCTCACATGTGTCAGACATTCAAACCTTCAATTAACGTCATAGAAAATGCATTATAATTGGAAGGAATATATTTAAATAAACTTTTTAAGAAGACACTCGTCAATAATTGGTCCTATAATGAGAAGTCTTTGTCATACCAGTGCGTATAGGCAGCTTCACGCACGGCGTTTATGATCCAAGGCAATGCGTGGGGAAAAATCTAAGTAATAGATGGACGGAGAAGTTACAAAGCGGTTGCTATTAATTGTAACGTGGGCTCATGAGATATAAGAGTGAAACTAATGATGGTGCTTGGCTGGTCTGGCGAAGTTTGTAGCTGATAAGGACGGTTGGGTTTTGGGAGGTTGTTGGGGTAGCATTTTTGGGTTGTAACGATGGGTTTTGCATGTGTTCATGTGTTCAAGTTGTGGCAGGGGTTGCACTCAAAGGTTGCACTCATGTGGTTCATATATTATTGGTACAAGTTATAGGGTTGAACTCAAGGGTTGTGTGCAAGTGGTTCACATGTTATTGGTTCAAGTTGCAGGGCGACACTCAATGGCTGTGTTCAAGTGTTATTGGTTCAAGTTATAGGGTTGAACTCAAGGGTTGTGTTCAAGTGGTTCACATGTTATTGGTTCAAGTTGCGGGGTTAAACTCAATGGTTGTGTTCGAGTGGTTCATATGTTATTGGTTCAAGTTATAGGGTTGAATTGAAGGGTTGTGTTCAAGTGGTTTACATGTTATTGGTTCAAGTCGCGGGGTTGAACTCTAGAGTTACACTCACGGGTTTCTCCGAGGGGTTGGTGCGGGCAAAGGTGCTGTGCAGCAACTGCTCGTCGAAGTTTATAGCGTCGCTGCACGCCTGTCGGGAGAAAATGTAATCAAGAATTTGAAATTTAAGCAGAAACTATCACCACAAATGTCATTCTCTTTCAAGAAGCATCCCACTTGATAGCAAGGAATCAAATAGACCAAACGCGGGTAGAAACTGGCATTTTGCACTTTGACGTAAAAAAATGAATTTTTCTTAAAAAATATGCTGGTGAAGTCATGTGGTTTCGAAATCTACTCGTTTTGGGTGGTCGATTTAGCTTTGGCAAGTTACTAAATTGTAAGTCAAATTGTATTGATGTATAGGTACTAATTTCATGTCCATTGTCATCAAGATAAACTTGAGAAGTCACTGGCAGCAACTTTTGCAAAGTGATCCCTCTCATATTTAATTAAAGTTGACATTATTTTTGTTAGCTCGTTCCCGGTCACGATCATGGTCGCTTCAAAGTATTAAATTCTTCTCTCAGAATGCAGTTCCGAGGAAGATTTTCTCCGACACATTTAAAGCTCATATGGTGATAGCGATATTATAAATGGTCGGGTACATTCGGTCGTGAAAATTTTAGGCATAGTCATACAATTCAGTTTACGCTCAGCAAGTTCAGATACGCAGGCTTTAGCCAAGAAGTAATCGTGGCAATGCAATTTATTACCGACCTTATTACCCCTCAGCTGCGCCGGGGCTCGGGATATTTGCATGAAGATAATTTACAAGCACCACACAGTCTCAAGGGTTAATATTCTTGCGGTAAGATCTTTACTTCCGCATTCAACGCCAAAAAAGAATTAAAGTTAAGGTAAAAAAACTGGAATCTTGAAATTGTGATTGAATCTTGAATATTTCAATCTTCATTTTGTGTTGGAATTGCCTGCTAACAGTTCATCTAATTATGAAATTATATTTGTTAGATGATCTATTTTTTCCAAAATATATCGATTTCAGGGTGCATTTTCTTATTTGTAATACAGACAAATCAGCATATAACTTATTTGTCGATTCCAGGGTACATTTTCTTATTTCTTATTTGTAATACAGCCAACATGCATGGTAATTTATTTGACATGGAATGGACAATAATGGGACGTCGCAGTTTAATCCCCCAGACGCCTTAATGAGGTCGATACCCCAAGGCAGGAAAGTATTAAGGCTCTATACTCGAGACGACATCACAAGTTAGCTCGTTGAGACCGCGATTCAAGGAACAAGTTGGACGCAACACAAGCATTATTTGTTCAGAGTCAAGGACCCTATCAAAAATTTTGGCCCGGCGTATAAGAAACCGACGGTAAGCCGACGATAATACATCAGAAGTGCTAGAAGAATTGATTAAAGGAAACTCCTGTAGGAAATTGATTAAAGTTCAGCAGTTACCCCAACGCTTGCATTGACGTTGCATAATCTGCAGAAGCTGATAAGAAATTCGGTGGCGTCCAAGCGACACCCCAATAAACAAACATCGTCAGAACATCATCGACAATCTCGTGGCCATCGATGAGTCGACCTTAATTTTCAACGAGGTATATTTACTGGGGTCACAGTAAGTGATCGAGAGGATAAAGTATTAGAACAATCAAGTCTTCGATCGCAAACGATCACGATGATTGAATTTCTGATGACATGAGCACGATTGCTCGACGTAGTTCCTGCAACACAGGGACCAGCAACACACGCGTAGGATATCTTAGGGACTCACGTAGGATATCTTAGGGACTCACGTACGAAATCATAGGGACTCACGTAGGAGATCATAGGGACTCACGTAGGAGATCAAACGGTTACGTAGCATATCATAGGGACTCACGTAGGAGATCAAACGGTTACGTAGCATATCGTAGGGACTCACGTAGGAGATCATAGGGACTCACGTAGGATATCATAGGGACTCACGTAGGAGATCAAAGGACTCACGTAGGATATCATAGGGACTTACGTAGGATATCATAGGGACTCACGTAGGATATCATAGGGACTCACGTAGGAGATCATAGGGACTCACGTAGGAGATCTTAGGGACTCACGTAGGATATCATAGGGAGGTTCCTGGCTGCTGCGATGGTGGCCTCCACATGGCACGTGTGCTCAGGGCCGATGAAGCCATGGATTGGGTTGCACAGGAAGTCTGTGATGTGCTTGGTGCTCTCCACCACCTCACCACGCGTGTCCTTCATCTGCACATCACACGAGCAACACAATCAGCGTAACCTGCATCACAGTTAGGCAATCGGTGCGACCTGCAGCACAGTAAATAATTCATCGTAACCTGCATCAATATTCATAATCAGCGTAACCTGCATTAAAGCTAATACCTACTTCAGTGTAACCTGCCTCACAGTTAAACAATCAGTGTTACCTGTATTACAGCAAATAATTCAGTGTAACCAGCATTACGGTTGATAATTGAGCGTAACCTGCATGCAATTAACCAGTAATGTAATTTACATATAATTGGCCGAATTGCGAACCTGAATACTATTAACCGCGCGGTGTAACAGGCACCACAATTAAGCATATATAGCTTCCCAGGACATGAATCAATAAAATTTCGTCCAGGAAGCTGCATAAGTTGTCATTATGTCGCTGGTATTAAACCCTTGTCAGGAATTCTTAATTCCACCAATTTCGGCTACGAAGGAAGTTATGCAAATCGCGAAATTCTCAGCATGAGAACAATGGCGTTTATGAGATGACGAAATTCTGCTTGATATATCTTTCTGCATTCAAGGACATAATTGTGACGAACAGAGTCTAGCAGATCTCGGTCGCCGGCACCTATAGCAGGCAATTAAAGTAACTGGATAAAATATGAATTAATAAAGCACCGGTCGAATGATTTGAACAGCAGGTTTGATACGCTACATCGCACTTAACGGCATGATATTTATATGGACCATCTGGTATAATTCACGCAATAATTTCAACATCAACTCTCGTAACTAAGCAGTGACATGAAAAGCTAGGCATTGGCTAGCGGCCGGAGTGGGCTAATTAAATTGTTGCACGACTGATGGGCGACGATCGTACAGTGTCACGATAAGAAGACTGATAACGCCGATATCTGACAGTAATGAGCATAGTTAGAAATTTTAATTGTGGAGTATCCCAATGAAGTGAAAACACCGCCATGTAAAAAAATGAAAAATTTGTTATTTCGGGATCCTCCCAGTGGACGATCCCGATAATGAGAAAACGCTGATATTTGACAGCAAGTCAGCAACTAATGTTGAATAGATTATCCCTTTACCGCCAAATCGGACTTTCAAGTCGCCTTTAAAAAAACACCGGTTTCTAAGAATTTCACGTTTTCTTTCATTTTTTCGAAAAATTCACACGAACAAAAAAGTCTTAGATTTATTTTTTCCATATGTGAACTAAGTTTAAAAGTTATCTGTCTGTAAATACACGAAATAAAATTTCCAATTTCCAATGTAAATTTCCAATTTCTTGTGGAAATTTTATTTCGGTTATTTACAGACGGATAAATCAGCGTTACCTGCATCACAGTTAAACAATCAGCGTAACCTGCATCACAGTTAAACAATCAGCGTTACCTGCATCATAGTTAAACAATCAGCGTAACCTGCATCACAGTTAGGTAATCAGTGTTACCTGCATCACAGTTAAGCAATCAAAATTCCCTGCATAACAATTAGGCAATCAGCGTAACCTGCATTAAAGCAAATAATTCAGTGTAACCAGCATTACGGTTGATAATTCAGCGTAACCTGCATGCAATTAACCAGTAATGTAACCAGTAATGTTTGCGTAACCAGTAATGTAACCAGTAATGTAATGTTGTAACCAGTAATGTTTGCGTCGACGAAAACGTGGAGTCACGGACGGACAGACGGACAGACAGAAAGACGGATGGACGGACGGACAAGGCGAACACAATAGCGCCTTTTTTACAACACTTCTCCTTAACTTCACTTCTTGTTTGTTTGTTTTTTTTTTTTTTTTTGTTGGTTTGTCTGTCTGATACATATCTTATAATCGATATTTGACACACTTTTACCTGTCCAATCAATCAGAAATTTTGCACACTTGCGTAAAGTCAGAGACAATACATGAATAAGTTGACAGAATAAATAATTTTGAAAAAAAGTAAAAAAATTTATCTATTAAAAAAATTTTAAAATTACTTTTTTTTTAATGTTTGAAAATTGAAAATAAAATTAGAAATTCATTGTAAATAAGTAACATCACAGACAATGGATTATTTAGAAGTGTTGTCTATAAAAAGTAATTTTTAAAGGCATATTTTATTTCAATAAATGAGAAAATGCTTTAAAAAATGAGAAAATTTTGTTAGTTCGGTATCCTCCCAGTACGTGGATGATCCCGATAATGAGAAAACGCTGCTATTTAACAGTAACCAATGTCAAATAAATTATTTTAATCGAACATTATTTTTAACGATAATGTAACTGTCAGTAATCTAAATAGTTAAATAGTTAAATGGGTGCTGAATATTTCATTGACGAATATTAAAAACTGAAAGCTTATAACGCAACGATGCTCGAGGGATAAATACTGAAGGCATATAGGTACGTAACACCGGCGAATCATCGACGAAACACCGGCGACGCATTTAGATATACGGATCGCCTACAGCAACTGCACCGCTTAGCATCTCTATATTTAGAACCAAAGTTGTCACGCTCACGTTCACCGGCCGTTCATGCACAAATCGGGCAAATGACGCCTTGATACAGGCATGATCGTCTCCCAAATTAAATTAGTAATGCCGCCTTGGGCGTATTTGTGAATAATTTTGTATTTGTTTCCCACGTATAAATGGCCCCTGGATTGTTTGCGCTTATCCAGCATGGCAACAAGCAAAAAAATACAATTGCGGGTGCAAAAAATTCTCATGCAGCCTGCTGGATAAGATAAGTTGTAGATAACGTTAAGATGAGTATCTCTCAAGATAAGTAACACTGAATCTCCTTCACTTTATACGCTCAAAACTATACAGAAATTGCCTTCGACCGTATAATCAATATTTTCATTCCCTGATTAAATCTTTTCTATTTTAGATGTACAGAGCAGAAAATAACAACAGATGTTCTCAATGGCCGACGCATGAAACGCTATAATATTAAAAGCTAAAACTTAACATCGAAATAGCTTTCCCTACTGCTCACAAATTTTTCATCGACTGAAACTTCTGATTACTGAAAGGTGCAAATCTGATGTTTTGAACTTGAGCAACTTTCAAAGTCAGATATATAAAATATTATTAGCGATACAACAATGTGAAAATTAATAAATAAATTACTGGCATAAATCAGTTCATGGATTTCTCTTCACTGATACAGAATTTTAAATAGATACCATAGTATAACTAAAGCACAGAACTTCATAAAAAAGGGTAACATCTATGAAAATGCATCAAACCAAACTCAAGGAACGAAATTCCGAAGTAACTTTAACTTAGAATCGTCGCCTTCTTCCCAGAATGGAAAAAACAGACTTAATTAACTGCGACTGCAGCTGTTAGAGCTGCAACAGAATCGAAGTACAGTGTAGTGAGCAACTGCGATACTGCACAACAGTATATCAAGTAGCAGTGCACTGCGCACCAGCTTCGCTCAACAGTACGTTAGCGATAGTGTATTATAATAGTCCCGGCAGCTGCAGTAGGAAGTTCTAACATTATCAGTGCACAACTGCATGACCACATGAAGGGTTTCTCGATGTCTTTGTTGTCATTCTGGTCCTATGAAATGTTGCTCTAATGGGGGATTAAATAAGTATAAGTTTGGTTCTAGGCAAGCTAAGGTTAGGTTAGGGTAGGCTAGGTTAGGTTAGGTTAGAGTTAGCAAAATTAGGTATGAATTCTATCGGCGTGACCACGACCAGCGGTCTACCGTGATGGGCCGTGGGCTGCATGACTTCACGGCAACGTGAAAACTTCAGCAATTTCTAAGCATCAAGATTTTTGTTTTTTATTTTGATATTTTTGAGTTAGAAGCCCAACCATCATTTTAATGAGGTTCATCAAGGAACTCACAAGACTATTAAACCCGAGATCGCTTCCCATCAAACCTGTTCAACAAAGTAGTCCCCCATCCCGAATGTGTAGATTGCACTCTTGCATTGCATCCTTTTAGATGTGTGATTTGATTGGCCTCCGGGTTTAGGGGTAATAAGCTGCAAGATAATAAGCAGTCCTATATACTCAAGTGCCTGTTAATAAGTGCCAATAATCATAAGTGGTTGAAATAATAATAATATTTAGTGGTAATAACAAGTGACTAATTAATTGTTAATAAGCTGCAGATCCGGGTCGTCAGATCGATGATTCAACAGTTTTTTTTCTCTACCCACCATAATCAATCCTTTAAATGGAAATAAAAATAATTATTGCTTTTATTAAAAATACTTTTGTAGAAGTTCATGCTAATAATTAAAACTGATAAGAACAGATGAAGAAATTAGCGAATTGTACTCAAAATGAGCAGCTACCTAGCAGTACTGTGTTACCAGACCCATGCATTCACACAATGCAAACATAGTGTGCGCTTTCTACTTATTTAGCCGCATCATGTATATTGTGTAGCAAATAATCCATATATGTAACAATGTACATTTATTTCATTGGTACCTTAGTAAATTTGTACCACATTAAGATAGCATCTACGAAACGTAGATATGACACCCAAGCTCTCATAAGATAAAACAGATCTAAAAATGATCAAAGTTATAATATTGGTAATCAAGTGCAGCGATCTATGCAGTGGTGTCCCAGAAATCCACCGTTGCTATTGGTCCACCGGTATGAAATACGCCATGAATACGACATAGCGGCACTTAACGTATTAAGACAAACGCGTGGTAGCATACTACAGTACTACCATTACAACGAATGGTAGCATAAATGCCATTATACCGCACGGTAGCATAAATACCATTATAACGAATGGTAGTATAAATGCTATTATAACGAATGGTAGCATAAATACCATTATAATGCACGGTAACATAAACACCATTATAACGAATGGTAGTATAAATGCTATTATAACGAATTGTAGCATAAATACCATTATAATGCACGGTAACATAAATACCATTATAACGAATGGCAGAATTAATGCTATTATAACGAATGGTAGCATAAATACCATTATAATGCATGTTAGCATACATACCATTATAACGCATGTTAGCATACATACCATTATAACGCATGTTAGCATACATACCATTATAACGCATGATAGCATGTGCAGCCACAGATTTTGATATACAGTCTTCAGTGCTAAATACTGAAAATTATTCTACGTAGAAGTAGGCAAAACTTATTTGGATCGAAATTTGTGTCTCCATTCATGGCTTGCGACTGGCGCGACAGCGCGGTGATTGCTCTGTATGGCAAGGAACCATTCCTCTATCTTTAATAAGTATCTTGAATATATACTTATTTATTGAATATTTCTGTTGAAATATTGTGCTTCCATCAACCATTCTAATTTTTATAGTTGATATTTTTTATTTGTACGTTTTCAGAAACCGTTGAAATGTTGAAGCAAGAGTCAAACTTTACAGCATTTGAGATCCTGCTACGCGTAAATTCTACAGTGATGGAAAGATTGAATACAAAAGTCGGCCAATGCATATATGCTCCTGTAGAGGCCGTCTTTAGTATGTATATCATTATAACGTGTGAGTCCCGAATGAATTTGGATATCTGTCTCTCGGTGAACTTACAAAAAGCGGAAATTGTATTAATGATATCAAGGAAGGCTTCAAACCCTGGATAAAAATAAAGTTAAGAATATGAAGGCATTTTTCTGAAAATTTTGCCTTCGGGGCGCACATTTAAGATATTAAGTACGGTTAGAATCTTTAGTTATTTCGGTTTATCGCTACGACATCGCTCGTCGTAGTGTATAACAAAAGCTTTGAAAGTCAAGTACAAACATAAGGTAATGTCATGGCATTATGTGTGTTCTATCGTTGCTGTACAACACACGCACAACCTGCACGCTATATCCTTCCATGCATCACAAAAATAATTATCTCTATGTTGCATAATTCAACTGTTTTCAAAACATCGTCGAGAATTTAAGTAAACTAATCGGACGAAATTGTAAGAGACAAGTCACATAAAATTGAGAAATTGTAAAATTTCAATTGTGAGAATGAAAATCGAAGAAGTAGTTTATGACTACAAAAGAGTGGTAACAATTTAATAATTATATTGATACCTTGAAAATTCGTAGAAGTAAGCAGCGTTTGAAGATGGCATTACCAAACCCTTAAACGCTATACATTTTCGCCCGATACCTGATTACTCATATGTAGCGTCTCATTGACAAGGAATGCAGGAGATCATTTAAGTAGAAGAATTTGAGAAAAGCAAAGTATCTGACCTCGAACTGCAGCTGGTAGTCGTCCGGTAGAATTTGTTCGCTGTTGACTTTGTTGACTGCGTAGGACACGGCACCCGGGATCTTCAGCCCAAGCCTCTCCCTGACGGTACCGACTTGAGTCATCAGCACACCGATCAAAATGGTCCTGGTACCATTACTCACACGGGGGTACCTAATACCAATATGGCACACGTCAGGATCGTCAGGATTCTCCTTGGAACCTTCCGAATACCGCGAGAATCGCGGGTGGTCCCAAATGTCCACGTCGAAGCTGTGGTAGAGCTTCTGGTCGTGGGGATCACCGAAATGAGGATTCGTGATTGAGTGTGGAGCCGGGAGGCGGTTATAAAAATTTCTGCTCCCTCCATCTTTGTAGAATTTATCAAGTCTCGTTGATTGGATCGGAATGTCGTCAATTATAAAATTATTATTTCCTAAGTCTTTAGACAAGTTCTGCGTATTTACATAAGAATTACTTCTAGCCCAGCCTAGCTCTTTTTTCCGAGTCCACGTAACTCGTCTACTTGCGTCGCTCTTGACACCTTCTAACACAGAATCTAAGACATTTTCTGCAGCATTTTCAAGCCGAGATTTCGCAAGAGAACTCCGGTTTACAGCTGACTTCATTTGGCTTTCACCGTTAAAATCTTCCGTTCGACTCGAGTCTTCTAAAAGTTTTTCTGCAGCGTCCAGCTGCCGCGAGGTGACTGTGTCATTGGGTACACTTGGAAATTTTTCCGATACACTTTTTAGGTCCACCGATGAATTCGGAAAGTCTATCGAGGGTGTAGAGCTCAAGTCTAGCAATATAAAAGGAACTTCTTCCGGCCGAGACAAAAACTCGAGTTTTCGTTTAGAACTTCGACGGCGCGGTATAATCAGGGAGGAATTCGAGAGATGCAAGCTCGGAAGAGAGTTCTGGAGTGTGGTGTTGCTGTGATGCGGTGGTGATGATGCTGAGAGCGACTCGGCACGATGTGATGACATCCACAGCATCACCAGCACCGCCCAAGCAATGCGCCAGTTGTAGCGCCGAGCCATCATCGTTCTGGAACAGAATAAAAAGATTAGCAAGCCAACAAATATATTTAAGACATATTCCTTCATTAGGAAATATTCCTTTCTTAGTGGTGAATAATTCTGACGCTAAGTTACTTCAAGACTTATTAATCTGGAATAATGAACAAAAATATTGTTAAGTGGTATAGAGATTTTTTCCAATTTCCGTCTGATGACGAGAAACCGAAATGCTTCTTCGGTCGTGATGTTAACCGCAAATCTTGACAATGCATAAACACATATATTTGCGTGTTTCAACGTGTTATGTCAATGATTTCGATAGTTGCCAATCAACTTCCATTTTATTCGGCAATAACGTATTTAGGTTCAATATTAACATCTACAGAATAGGCTACAATTATAATCCTGGCCGATCATCAATTAATTCATTCACTGGAAAATCGGTTAAAATTTAGCGGCTCAGTGTTCGGTTTCAGCAGCATTGCATGCGTTTTTTCTCAGCTCAAGCAGTGACGCGTTCAGTTTCAGCGGAAACATTTACAGGTTTAACAGAAACGAAATCACATTATAGCAGTAACGTGTTCTGTTATAGCAAAAACGTGTTCAGTTATAGCAGAAACGTCTTCAGCTATAGAAGCAACGTGTTTAGTTTTAGAATCGGAGGAAAAATATACCAAAAAACAGTCTCAGGATCACTACAAAACAAAGCGACTACCAGCAGCAGCAGCAGCAGCAGCAGCAGCAGCCATCCAACACAAGTGCGAATTCTTCTCATATTCCCGGGAACGGCAGCAGCACCAATTTGGAAGAGGGGGTGAGGGGCGCGCAGGCTCAATATTTATTTTTCGTGGCGCCGACGGTCGCCGTTCTCTCATGTGACGCCCGTAGAACTGGCGACAACGGCGCTTCACATTACGGCGGCTACTGGCCCACTCGCTACATTACCCCACTCCTGCCGCGGCCACTTGCTACATTACCCCACTCCTGCCGCGGCCACTTGCTACATTACCGCACTCTCGTCCTGTATACACCCATTACACGCGCGACACCATTTTTCCAGCCATCATCCACCCATTATTGGCTCGGCGCCTATTTTTCCAGCCAGGCCTATTTTTTCCTCGCGCGGCGCCTATTTTTCTAGCCAGCATCCACCCATTACACGCTCAGTGCCCATTTTTCCAGCCAACATCCGCCAATTACAGGCTCGGCGCCTATTTTCCAGCCAGAATCCACCAATTACAGGCTCGGCGCCTATTTTTCCAGCCAGCATCCGCCTATTACACGCTCGGCGCCTATTTTCCAGCCAACATCCACCCATTACATGCTCGGCGCCTATTTTCCAGCCAGCATTCACCCATTACTGGCGCGACAGTCTGAGTCACCAAAGAGCTTTTCGAGCAAGCCAAATATTCGACTTGCCTCCACCGCCCTGAATACAAAAGAACTCCACAACTGACCACGAGCATCTAATGAGATAGTCTTCTTTAGTTTGTCCGTGGATGTGTCAATACAACAAAAGAACTCCACCACTGACCACGAGCATCTAATGAGATAGTCTTCTTTAGTTTGTCCGTGGATGTGTCAATATACATCACCATCCTTCGCAAGTTGCGTGCACTCTGTTATCGGATTTCAGCCTCGATTGCCACAGATTACGTACATTTGAGCTTTGTTGCAATATAGTTACAATTTTCTTCCTCTTATGATAATTTGAAAGCTGTTGTAATATGTAATAACCGTTTATATTATGAGAATGAATGTTTTAATTTGAGGATTAAAAATAAATTAACCAAACCCCGCTATACGTGACCAACTGTTCTACAACCTTCTTCAAAATGATGCAACCAATGAGGAAGAAATTCAAAATATAGTGATATCTTTAAGCGACTTGATCCAAAAACTGGAAGAGCAGCTTCTATTAACAGTTCTAGAATTAACTGTTCAATCAAGTGAGAAACGATTAGGAAAATTTGCTCATTTGGTTAACTTGTTTATGTTATGTCATCGAAGCCCTTTAATAAAACAATGCCTGTGATAAAAAAGAAAAAGTCTATACTAAAGACTAAGAAACGCTGCTGCACTTCGGACACTTATTATTAGTCTTTACCACAGACTTTGTCCTTTTTGACACAGCATTTAAAAAACAAAGGACTAAAAAGGACAGCATTAGGACAGCAAAAGGACAGCAAAGGACTTTAAAGGACAGCATTTTAAAACAAAGGACTAAAAAGACAGAGTGCGTGGTAAAGACTATAAGAATAATTGGCTGAAGTGCAGCAGCGTCTCTACAATTATGGTCTCGTAATAAGAAGACGTTCGAGAAGCGCTGGTCGACCACAGTGGACCCTCAGATTTTGTAATGACACGAGGGGCGCAAGTCAACATCCTGGTGCTGATGGCGGCTGCTTATGAGGGCTATTGGCGACCCTCTTTTGTGGTGATAGCAGAGCCGCGGCTCTGGCAATATTGTTAATTTCGGAGCGAAAAAATGGCCACGTAGCTCATTTGCCACGTCCTTTTGTGGTAAAAGAAAATATACGCTCGTTAATGTCTCTTTAGTGGTGACATAAAATTTAAGAATTTGATCCTACAATAACTCTTCGGTGGTGTTATAGAGAAGCCCAAAGTCCAGCCCCAAAAGGCGCGTTCTATGGTGACAGACATGACACGACTCCAACTGTGCTATCCAAAAATTTCAAAGGTTTCGAAATAAAAAATTTATAATTACCAGAAGTTTTCTTTAATTATTCGTAAAGACAGAACTCGATTTTGCGAGAGCTTCGGATACCGGCGATCACACCCAGTCGATCAAGACCCTGCGGCATCATCGCTAAAGGGTTTACGAATATCGCTGTGAATTAATATAACGCCAACGAGTGACAAACCGAAAGCTTCTTGATTCGATTTCCGGGGCCATACTTTCAAAACTCGCTAAGTGAACGTAAGTACTTACGCTCTGTTTTCTTGTCTATGATTGGTGGATTTTGCTTGAAAGGCCGTCAATGATTGGCTGATGAACTTACGATCTCTTAACTTTTTTGAAAGTATAGTGAACGTAAGTACTTACGCTCTATTTTCTTGTCTATGATTGGTGGATTTTGCTTGAAAGGCCGTCAATGATTGGCTGATGAACTTACGATCTCTTAACTTTTTTGAAAGTTTAGGCCCTGAATTGGAAAATGAGAATAAATAAAGAAATTCCTAGGTTCACTTTTACTTTCCGATTACGCTAAGTTAAGTTAGTTTAGGTTTGGTTATTATTTTTGTGCTTCAATGACAAATTTGATGCGTCAAATTAAGTTTGACTTTTCAAACCAGATCATATGTTATGTTATGATACAAATACAATCAAATGACGTTATAGTGTCAAGCAGGAAAAAATTACACTAAGAAAACAAGTAATTAAAAATTTAATGAGCTACCAAACTATTTGTGTGGATAGCGACGATGACTAGAAAATTTAGACGGTGTGCATGAAAAAAAGTATATGCGGGCACGACAGTTTAAATTCAATACAGCAGTTTCATTTTAGTTCTTGTGTCAGCCAAACACGAATATCGTCCTCCACACAGACTCGTTTTCCGGCAGGAATGCCGGATAACAGGAATCGAGGTGAGAATCAAGGCAGGAATAAGGCAGGAATGGAGCTTGAAGGAAGCCATTGCAAGGAAGTAATTGAACACAATGCCCTGGTATTGAATGGTACGCTGAACATTTCAGCCGTTCAGCTAGTGCCGGTTTTGAGATTTCAAATCTTTATTATTGAAGAGAATCAATCTACAAATGTTATCTCTAGCATTAATTGGAAATATATGTATTTCAATTTGAGGCATCTGAAATTAATCTCAATCACGAAATGAAATCTCTGCCAACGTAAATAAAATCAATGGTTATTATATATGTAACCAAGAATAAATCAAAATTTAAAATATCGCCACCACTAATCGTTAATGGGCACGATTAGTGACTAGCCATTAATCTTTAATCTTAACATTTAAGTCTTCGTAGCATGGATACGTCGACAAATTGTAGTTCTCGACAGAATTGCTAATTTAAAGGCCAACACATCATGCCGGCAAAACGTTCCAGTCACATGACAATATTACACAAATTTTTCAATGCAACTTCATCTCATCAAACGCGGGACAAAATGAGAAATTGAACATTTCTCTTGAGATCAACTATATACGGCACAGAGTGCAACTTACAGCGCCAATAATTGGAATCTATTTCTGGAAGAAAAGTCTCGAGTTCTAATGTTCGAACTGCAATGATATGATGAATCGAATCCCAAAATACAGGTGCAATAATGTTCTCTCAAACGTCTTCGAGGTCAAGGTCGTAGGGGTGAATTTTTCATGACATCGTGATTTTTATATTGACATTGTGATTTGAATTCTCAGTCAAGATTGAAAACTTTCTTTATTTACGACAAAATGTAAGCAACAGCATTAATATTTTATTTCATACTTACATCATTAGTTTACTCAAATTGCAAATTCAGCAAGAATCCACTAGCGAAAAAAAACGAATAAAAAAACAATTTCGTAATTGAAAACGTTTTCCCATGTTCTCATTTATAATTAATGTGAATACATCGCTCAAAGAAAGCAATAATTAAAGTCCATGCAGAGCATTAATTTAAAGTGAGCTTCTCACATTCATCAATCAGTCGACATCTTCAACAATCCTCGCTAATTAAACGTCACTATGCGAGTAATTTTCATGGGACCTCACTCCTAATCTTATTTAATTCGTACTGAAACATCACTGCATGATTAACGTTCTAAAAACCAAACTCCAATTGTACGATAATTACCAAGGCCAACATTACAACAGACATCATAATAACATTAAAAATTCACACCCCAGAGAAGTTATTCGTTCGTAATTGTGTTGTTCATGATTCAGTTACCTCTTAAAATCACGTTGTGTTTCAGTAACTAATAGCTGCTCACGAGAAATAAATAACAGCAGGCAGCGTAGAGGCTAGGAGAGCAATAACCCGCGGCATTGCCGCTCCCGAGT